GTATTTCACTGTTGGTTGCCATTCCATGCAAATCCAGGACACAGAGGCTTTTTGCTCACAGAGGGCTATGGGAAGACGCGAACAACCATTATGAACTACCTTGTATCTGGAGACACAGCATATTAAATTAAAATTGATATTAATCTTTATTAACGTTTTATGACTCAACTTTCAGCAATTTGTTCCTAAACCATTTCTGTGATGCAAATAGCTAGCTGATATGCTTGGACACATGAAGTTGCCTTATAAAAAATCAGACCGTTGGTACATCAAGGTCAGTTATTGCCTACTCAGACTGGCAGCAGCATGCCGATACTCTACCACTGAGCTACGGCCCCTCCCGTGTATTATTATATACGTGTGTGCGCGTGTATAAAAATGTTAACGAAAATGACTGGTGTCCCTTGTAGAAGAAGAGTCTAGAAAAGAACACTAAAAGGGAAAATTGGCATCTGTTCCATTTAAGGATGTCAGTTATCAGGGATGCAAACTTTAATCTGCAAACACCAAAACTGAAGGCAGCATATAATAAAACAGAGAGTACATTGTGCCACAAAAAACTACTGTAGAAAGAAGAATAGAAAGTAGATATTCTAAATACGTATCCCCCAGTAAAGAAACAGACAAGGAACTGAGGCATTTACATTTTAGTTATAGATTAGAAACTGTAGGCTTTACAAGACTTGCACGTGTAACTTTTAAAACACTACTAGTGATGTCTGAATTCCAACAGATAGTAACCATAATAGCACCTCTTCCATAAAAAGCCCTCATTTACATTGTATGAGAATCCCTTTATAGCATTCATAGATGTCGCATATCTGGAAACATACTGTATTTAAAGTTTCATCAGGTTTATATGAGATCCTGGAAGCCAATCTCCAGAAGCATTAAGACAATAACATTCCAAACAATGGTGATGTCACTTTTTCTCTGCATGTCTCGCATACAGTGACGACCTACATACGTAGTAAAGTCTGCTCAACCTTCACCAGTGATTGAATTATTGATAAAAGAGACTTTCTCTCTTTCCTGAACTACCTGGTTTAATTCCTAGGACACCTCTATGAAAAGCAAGCTCAGTGGATCAGCGCAGAACTATATGCTGCATATAATCCTGTGCTCCTTTTAACAATTTTTTTTTTACACAACGAAACTATGAGGGCTGCAACTGAACAAAGGAGACAGACTAGTGGGATGGGAGGGGAAAATGCTATTTAACCCCTCCCATGCCCCATTTCCCCACCAAAGACATTATGCTTGACCGTGGAATACTTAGGGTTTTTGCTACAGAGATAAAAATAGTGGGAAAAGGGAGCACAAGCTCCTGTGTAAAAAGAAAGATGGGGAAAAGTTTACTAGACCCTCTGGTCATGTATCACTCTCCCCCTCCAAATGACACTCCTAGCAGCTGCATTTTGTAAAAGAAACAAGGCCTTTTTTTAAAAAAGTATTTGATCCTAAGACTTGCATGTACTTATGTATATTGTCTATGGCAGAGGGCATCCCTCCAGCTCTCAGAGCTTCTGCTCAGAGACCACTGTCTTTCAATGTGCTGAAAAGCACCTTGCACCAGAGGAAAGCACTGCGAGGACCACCTCTGCAACTGATGAAGAGGGGTACAAATGGAAGAAAGAATCCAAGACAATGGGACTACAGACAGCACACAGCCATACCCATAGACTTGTATTGTAGCAGCTCACCTAGTCCTATGTGTCAAATAAGAACATAAGAACATAAGAAAATAGGAGAAGACAATGTTGGATCAGGCCAATGGCCCATCCAGTCCAACACTCTGGGCTCTTTTAGACACACTAAATAACGCACTTTCAATCCACTTTGCAACTGGATTTTACTGTGTGAAATGGCAACATCCACTTGCAAATGGTCACTGAAGTGGATTGAAACTGCATTATTTAGCATGTGTGAAAGTGCCGAGTCTGTCACACAGTGGCCAAAAATACCAGGTGCCATCAGGAGGTCCAGCAGTGGGGCCAGGACACTAGGTGCCTCCAGGTGATCAAACAGAAGCCCCCCCCCAAACCCACAATTCTGTTTCCCCTTGCCCTTCTTCTTGCTATCACTTAACAGATATGTGCAAAAAGGTGGGAGAATAAAAACTATGAAGCCAAGACTACCATGACAAGTTTCTTGAGATTAAACTGAAGGTGTGGATGGCCAAGCATGAGTATTTGATATTACATTTCATGCTTTCACTGCCATGGTACTGCCTTCCAGATGTTCAGTCATCTAACATTTAAGGCTCATGGGAAGCAAAAGACCATTTTTGTACTCTGCTAATGAACACTGAAATGTCCAGCATAACGTGATGACTATTTTTATTATTAGCAGCAGCTTCATTTACAGCCTACCTTTCTCACTGGGACTCAAAGTGGACTATAAATTTAAGAACTAGTCAAGTCAATCAGCAAGCAAATTTCAAAGTATGATAAAAAAAACACACACATATGAATATAACAGCAAAGGTGTCAGATCAGGCCTTGAAAAATATTCACAAAACATATGAATATAACAGCAAAGGTTTCTGTACAACGGTGTCAGATCAGGCCTTGAAAAATATTCTTTGCCGCTAGCAACCAGCCCAAAACTTTAGGAGCCAGGCTGAGTTTTCAGGATTCTGTTCTTCTGTAACCATGTTTTCTAATACTAGGCACCAAAATGAAGATCGAGTGTAGAAGATGGAGTGGATCTATTCTCTCTTGCTCCGGATTGCAAGACTAGGTCTAATGGGTGGAAATTACAAGGGAGGCGTTACTGGCTAAATATCAGGAGAAACTTCCTAACTGTAAGAGTGGTTGAGCAGTGGAACAGTCTGCCTCAGGAGGGGGTGAATGCTCCTTCGCTGGACGTTTTCAAGCGGAGGCTGGACGACCATCTTTCGGATATGTTGTAGGTATGCAGGGCTATCTTTTGGCTATGCTCCTGCAGAGTGCAGGGGGTTGGACTAGATGACCTGCAAGATCCCTTCCAACTCTAACATTCTATGATTCTATGACATTTCTAGACAATGTGGTGAGCTGGTGCCCCAGGATCTGTTGTGTCTGACTTGAATATGTTAGACCCAAGGTCAAACCCTCACTTGTCCATGAAGATTTCTGAGTGATCCTGGGCCAATCACTCTCTCTCAGCCAGGCGCAATTCATAGGGTTGCTGTGAGGATAAAATGGAAAAAAGGGGAACAATGTACACCATCCGGTATGGGAGGATGAAGGGCAGGATGAAGGTGCATTAAATAAATACTGTGAATAAAGATCCCAGGTTTCTCAGCAGAAAGTCACACTCTCTTCTCATATAAAATAAATAAAATGTCTGTTTATGTTATTTAAAGTCAGCCTTTCTCACTTGGACTCAAGAATGATTACACAGAGTGAGTCAATACAATTGGCGGATGGGGCATTCAATAAGCAATGCAACAGGACTAGGGTTGTAGCACCAACCAGAAGACGAAAAACAGAACTGAAGCAAAGCATAAATGTTAATGTGACACACTAGATGTAAAATTCCATAGTAGGATCCTAGTTTCAACAAGCTTTAAACAGTAGTAGAGACCACAGTCCCTAATAATTTTTCTAAGTAACTTTGTGAATCATTCGGTACAGTGTAAGTCTATTGCCTGTGTAGAAAAGCCCTCCTGAATAATTCAGTTTTGCGTAGTTCATGGAAAGCCAGGAGACTGGGAGCCTTCCTGACCTCCTCAGACAGGCCATTTCCACAAGGGTGGAGAGGGAAGGCCCACAACAGAGAAGGTAAGTGTACAGCCAGTCATTGATCTTGTTCATTTGCAGGTTGGTACCTGCAGGAGACCCTGCTCTGATGAGCGAAACTGTCATGGAGGAGGAGAGGCGGTCTCACAGATATGGGGGTCCAAGGCCATGAAGGCCTTTGCTTGTGACAGATAATACCTTACACTGAGCCCAGTAATACAACAGCCCCACTAAAGAGCTCTCCATTTTTACTCAACAAATATACTGAACAAAGAAAACCTATTATCTGGCCACACCAATTCAAAAGACAATTTTAGAACACTTATAGTGAGCACAGTTAAGCAACCATTAAAATTTTTTAAAAAAATGTTTCTTGCCCACTGACATATTAAACAAAACAATCCACTTTACACCAAAAGCTTTGGAATTATTTAGAAGCTATGTAGCTAAAAATCCTTACTCCACAAAGAAATTTCAAAAAAAAGGTTCTATTACTGACTTCCAGTAACTATTGGGGGGGAAGAGAAATTATTCTAACACAGTGAATAGAACTGCAAGATTATAAGAATATAATCTATACAATTGAATTGAACATTTGAAAGCACAAAATGAAAACAGAGGTCTACCATCACACAACAAACTGAATGCATGTGTTTAATTTCTGCTAAATACAGTTTAAGGTTGCATTTGTTTTCTGAGGTGGAAGATACTTTAAATGTGGAGCAGACAAAGAGCTAGGCTTTATAATATGTGTGTGTGTTAAGTGCTGTCAAGTCACTTCTGATTTAGGGCAACCCTATGAATCAATGACCTCCAAAATGTTCTAATTGTTGACAGCCTTGGTCAGGTCTTGCAAACTGAGGGCTGTGGCTTACTTGAGAGACTCAATCCATCTCAAGTTGGGTATTCCTCTTTTCCTGTTGCCTTCAACTTTTCCTAGCATTATTGTCTTTTGCACTAAGTCATGTCTTCTCACGATGGAACCAAAGTACAACAGAGGCTCTATAATACTATTTACACTTTCATTCCAATCTTAGATGGCTAAGAAATTTAACTTCAAAAATTGCCACAGACTTTTTTTAAAAAAACAATCCTGTATAGTTAAATGAATACAATAGACACTGTTCTTGTGACGGGGATTCTTCTACCAAATAGAATATGACCACCCTCCCAAATGTAAATAAAGCTACTAATTACTTTGGATACCTGCAAACTAAAAAAACCCAACAAACTGGCAACAACAGAGCAAAATTCTCTCAGGAAAGTGTTACATACCTGCCCTTGAACATTTATACGATCTCGCTCCTGTGGATGCTGACTAGAACCAGAATTATTCCAGGGATGGTTGCAATTTTGCAACTGTGTCCGAGCAACGTGCAAATGTGTCACTTGTGGAGTAACACCGTGTTCCAGGTCATGTTCTAGCTCGTTACTATGTGCAACTGTGTCACTTGTGGAGTAACATGTTCCAGGTCATGTTCTAGCTCGTTACTTGAGCTATCCTGAACAAAAGCTGATTCATCAAACTGTGGAAGAAGATCTTCTTGAAGGAGAGATTCTGGATCAAGCTCTGTAAAGGATTCAGCTTGAGACTCAACTTGACGAAGCAAGTTCTCATCCAAAGATGAAAAACCATTACCTTCTATACCATCACTGAAATGGCTCATCTGAGGACCAGAGCCAGCAGGGACAGAAAAATTAATGTTCACTGCAGAAAGTTTTGAACTACTGAAGTTGCCCTGAGGATGTGTTGAATGCAACACATGGAAATTATTTGAATTCAAAGATGGACTGGAGTTTAGGATGTTTTCTGTATTTTCATGCTTGGTCCCTGTCTGAGGTGCAAAATCAGATAAAGGATGAGTCTGTTGACTGGCAGAAAGAGCTGTAGAAGACTGCAGAAGACCGGTAGGAGAGATGCGGTTACTAGAGTAGGAATAAGGAGGAGAAAACTGTGTACTATTAACAGAGCAGGGAGTTATACTTGGAGAATGTCCACCAAAGCTTCCTTCTTGACTATCACAATAGTGTGGCGAGTCATTTGCAGACTGAGAAAATGATTGAATGGAAATAGACTGTTGAGAATTTGACAGATTAGCAGCTTGAGGTGGGTGGGGAGCACTGGTTCTATGTGGAATACATGTATTAACTTCCATGAAGTTGTCTGACTGACTCTGAGTGTCCTCTCCTGTATCAACGCTGTTTCTGTTTTGCTGTGACTGCAGTGAGGCACACGGATGGTGCTGCTCGCCGGCCTGAAATAAGGCAAAATCGTGGTGTGCTACAAAACTTTTATTTTGCTGCATAGACTGTGAATGTCCTTGGTGAAAGGGGGATCCATTCTGATTAGAAACACTGGTGGAAGTCTGATGCCCCCACATAGGGCTTCCATCTGCCACATCTGGAAACATCCCATTTGTTTGGCTTTGGGGATGAATGGGTGAGCAATTAAATTGCGAGTGTGGTGATAAAACATTTTCAGCTGGACTGCTGAAGGACTGACTGACTTGAAGCTTCAGTGAATCATACTGATTAAGCCGTTCAAAATCATTCATCTTTTGTTCAGTCTGTGTTTCCTGCACATGGTTTAACGAGTCAATGTGTAAAGGCTCAAATTCTGCACCCAAGTTCAACTCATCTACAAGTGAAACAGGTCCAGTTTGTACAAAGGCATCATCTGACAAACCTTCTAAGGTATCACTGAAGAGGTTGGCATCATCAAAAAAGTCCATCATCGGATCTGTCATCTTGGTATATCTGCACTACTTTGATTACTCCAACTGGAGTCAGTCTCTCGGCACACAGCAAGAGATAATTTGCAGTGGTCAACACCTTATCTAAGCCATGATGACATCCATTAGCACTTCTGAAGCAATGTCTTGGAGCATTTAAAGAATCCTAGACAAAAGGGGAAAAACACAAACACTTTAAAATCTTAATGTAGAGAGTTTGTTTTTACCACCCAAATCTATCTCGTTTTTAGGGCAGGGTCACCCACCTACCCTGTGACACTAAAATATAGTTACTTCATTTATGCTCCACCTTTCTTTTTGAGACTCAAGGAGAGTCAAGGTGGATTACAGATTCTATGCAGGGTGAAACGATTTCACTTTTATTTCAGTCAAGTTTCCATCTTACTGATTTATATATTTTCAGTTTAAACAGGCATACTAATTGGTTGCTATACAAATGTATCTATTTGCAATTAAATAGAGCTATCTAGCAATACGATAGAAGATGCTGGGTCAGGCTCCTCGCATACCTTTTACAGCTGCTTAAATGAACAGTTTTGACATTAAGGATTTCTATTAGCTGTATCTATACATCTGTAAGGACTCCAAGCAATGTAATCTTTAGGCCGAGTTACTCTAATGTACTCTACGAAGGGTCAACGCTGAAGACAACTTGGAACTTCCAGCTGGAATAAAATGCGGCTGCACATTTAACAGGTACAATCTTATATGAACAAATTAGGACGCTGCTGGAACAACTATGTTGTTTACCAATTTGTTTCTGAGTTCAACTCACTGTGATGGTTATTACCTTTTAAATTCTTTACATCCAGGTCCCATGATTCTGAAGGACTGCCTTGCCTGGTAAAAGCCAATGCCCCTTCTCAGGTCTGACGAAAGTTTTCCATTGGTCATCCCTTCCGTTTCCCTCAGTCCTCTGGCCTCCACCAGAAACTTAAGTCTTCTCTTTTGTCACAACTGCCTTGTGCAATGTCCTTTCCAAAGCCATACATCAGGCTTCTTCTCTATCATCTTTCAAAAGGACCTGTATATTTTCAGGTGGCTGTATACTGATTCTGCTGGTTGTTACTACAGTAGACTATATTAGACAGCTTTATGAGCTGGGATGCAACTGAGGATAGTAGTTTGTGTTTTAATATGGTTTGTAGATACGTATCTACTTCTTTTGTGAATGTAATTCACAAAATTCACATATATATGAATTTGGAAAGGATCTGAACTTTTAAAAAATAAATGAGTGAAATTATTTCAGGCACAAGGTCTTCATTACTTCTAACAAGTGTTTATGCTGTTTGACTCACGTGAATTTAAGTTTTGGGAATTTGTGCAATACTAGAATATGACCTATTGTGGCACTATAATGTTTGCCCTTAAAATTCACATATTGTTGTTCCTGGACTGTTATTTTATTTAGAAAAGCATCCTTCAAACTCTGTGCGTCTAACAAAAGGTCATGGATTTAGTTAAGAGATTAATCTGAATAGACTGGTGCACATTTGTCTTACATTCAAATATTACTCTAAACCAAATTGCTCTAAAGGTACTTGATATAAGTTACATTTATTTGCTTTCAATTCTTTTTTCTTCAACCTGCTTTCTTGGGGAAACAGAGAAGTTGACAGTGTGTTCTGTGAAAGCTATAGGTGCCACACCATCAGATTTATTTAGAAAATTTATGTGCCATTTCTCCATAAACCTGCTCATTAGTATCATATAAAAGAACTAGGTAAAGTCTGAATTTTCTGCCAAATCAACCTGAAGGACTTCCACAAGAGTACTTTGGACAGGACAGCTCTAAAAAAATATTTATGAAATTACAGCAATAAGTGACTCATTTAAGAAATCTAAACTGGGGTTTAAACAAAAAGTAAATAATGAAAGTTACCATTCTGACACCTGTAAATAAATTATCAATTTGTAAGTTTTGGCATCTATTTCCTTGTAATATTGCATATGTTATTGCTTTATGTTTGCAGTCCCCACTACCACAGGGCTGCAATTTACACCCCCTCAAGAACCTGAACAAAATTTCAGTCTAAAAACTGGGATTATTCAATGTTGACAACAATTAATATGTAATAACACGTCTAATATTACTCATGTTAAGAGTTTAGTACTTTCCATATTATAAAGTTCAACTTTCAATCCAAATACGCTGGTCGTCTTATATGACTGTACGAGACTGTCCAAATAATACATTCTTGTTTTCTCATTTTCTTTCTTTCTTTTTTTTTGGTATTTTTGTATGCATGTGTGCGCCCGTGCCTGGAAGTCCTGGCGACTCCTACTGGGGCATGGAGGACGTTCAGAGAAGTAGATTGATAGCCTGCCTCTGCTTCCTGGCCCTGCTATTCTTTGGAGGTCTCCCATCCAAATACTTGCCAAGGTCAGCCATGCTTAGCTTCTGAGATCTGATGGGATCAGGCTTGCCTGGGCTATCCACGGCAGGGCTTTTGTTTTCTAATTTCATTTATATGCTGCATTTAATGATGCATTTTATCTTGTTTAAAACAATAAAGTTTAGGTTTGACAGGAAAGTAGGTATAGCACGTATTTCAATTTTCCTCTAATACAGTATAGCTATGTTTCAATTCTTTTAAAAAAAACAAGAAAGGGGGTTTCTATAACTTTTAAGATTTTTTGAAATTTTACATCTCTAACTGTCCCAACTCAAAAAATTAATGATTTAAGAATTTTAGCCATCATTCTTTTCTTAATCTTCTCTATGCCATTTATCCAAGAAGCTATCTCAATGTTTTGGAAAATGCAGATGTATTTATAGTGCACCAGGAAGCAAAATTTCAAAACAAGGCGAGTTATGGTTTTGCTGATTAGTAGGATTTTGTTTAGGCTTCAATATGTTATTTAAACCTTTCCAAGTTACTGAATTCAAACAACGGTTTAAAATGCAATCTTGAAAGTTTATCAAATCATGTGAATCTGCTCATATTCCATGTAAAGTCAAAATTAAAATAGTTCCTGCAAAGGAGTATTTCCACTTCAAAATGCATTCCATGTATTATCCAACATTTTTGCAATTGCATTTCTGTTCCAGTAGGACTAAAGTGATGACAAAATTTACTCTATTATGGAGGCTCCAGAACCCTACAGCGTTTGATTAGCATGTAACATATTAAAAATAAATACATCAATTCATGCCAGATCAGCAATCTGAGAACATCAAGCTTATGAGAGCATGATTCCTGTAATATATAGAGAGCCTACTGCCTAGGATACAGTACACATCGTTATAGATTTGTGAACGACCCAAACCACTGTAACTCCTCATAGCCAAAATGTCAATCAGCAAAGGTGTTTCTACGAATAGAGATCACTATGAGTATCAATTCACTAATTAGTATCAATTCGCTACTTACATTAAAACTGCCATACAATAAATACTAAAGATTTAGGTTATCAATGCCACAGAAAGTTGATCCTAAAAATCAAGGATCTCCAACAGGTGGTTTGCAACCTACTAGTAGCTTGCCAGCTAACAGAGAATAGCTCCTGCATCCCCCAGAAGACCTGGATTAGATCACAAACAAATCTGCTCTATATTTTTTTTAAAACTTTCATTTCATAGGATTTATTTTTGTGTTACTTAGTAGATACCTTCAGTTTTGGTGCTCTCCCTAGTTGGTGTTCTGTTTCTATGACAGACTTAGTAACATGATGGGGGTTGGGGGAGACAGCAGTCTGGAATATTTTTAATTAGTTAACAGTAGCTCTCATTAAAGAACAGGATTGCAGTTGCTGATGGAGACTAACCCACGGAATCCAAATTACTGGAATAAATGTCAATGTCATCAATATCCAGAAGAATTCTTACCCAGAGTTTTTTAGGTTCCTTAAGATTCCAACCTATGGAATATACATGCTGATCTACAACTTGCTTTCAAGTAAGGCAGAGCACCATTGCATTAAATTAGCTTCCACTGAAGTCAATGTAACATATCAAATTAATGGGCAAGTTCAGCAAGGTCCAGTAGAGAGTTTTCACGAGGTTAGTGGAACTCAGAAACCATCCATGCCTCCTGCAGCCTTCATGTCCTGTTTATCTGAGCCATGCTTGGTGGCTTTTGGTGCTTTGGAAAGCAGTGGGTGCAACTGAATATTTGAGCACGTGCTCTTTGAATCCTGCCTGGTATGCTTAACACAGAACCAAGTAAGGCTATTCCTAGGAAGTTTTGGCTGTTCATTTATTTATGCACTCTAAGATTCAACAAAGAAAGGAACTGAGCATTGATACTACTCCCCCCAACACAATCAAATTTGGATTTACTACCCTGAAATTTGTTTTTATCTTGTTGTTCTTATTTTATTTGTGAAAGGATAAGGATTGCTAGTATAACAAATGCCATAATATCAAACTATAAAACTGCACAGGCCATTTGAGAAAGTTCTCTGATGAGGCAATCAGTGATGAAGGGGTCAGATAAGCAATCCTATCTAGCAAAGCTAAAAGCATGGCCTCTTTAGAGATAATTGTATACTGCACCCCATCGGATTACTCAGGTTCTGGGAAACCCTACATGGGCTATTCATAAATCAATTACACTGTAGAAAAACTGGTCATGTGAATCTATCCAAAGTCAGGCAACTTTGGTAGATCTACAGTAAAAGTGGACAATAGCTGCAAAAAATACTTAGTAGTCAGAAAACTGGAACTTAATCTTGGACAGAGATTAGCAAAAAGCATCCTTACCTATTAATATGCAGAACATAGCCTTCGCAAAGGTTTTACGTAACCCTGAGAAGCACTTGATCCCTGGTAGTTAATTAGCATTAGGGACCTAAAAGAGAAGTCACAGTATTGAAGGAAGGCAACAACCAAATCTCAAGAAAATTGTTCATTATTCAATTTTGCCTTTAAGTGCATTCAAATATTTTTAAGTTTGCCCAGGATTGCTATATGCCACAACTAAAATGTTGTATATGAAAATGATACACAGTTACAGTTCTTATTGGTAGAAATGTGCTAACAGCAGACA